CCACCTTAGCCTCCTAATTCTGTTATTTAAAAAATGATAGGTCCCTCCTGTCCTTTTCCTTTATATTCTCTATTCTAGGGTCTTGTGTTAGATCATGGGTCTCCTAAATGAATTGCTATGTCTCTGATCTCTTTATATTCCATGTCTTTTTATTGGCAGGGCTTGGAGCATGATGATAATGTTCTCACCACCACAGAACTCTCTGGGACCTGCTAAACTGATTACATACCTAGTCCATGTTCAGTTTTCCCCACTGTTCCTAAAATGTCTTCTTTCGGCTCGGCGCCTGTGGCTGAAGCGGCTAAGGCACCAGCCACATACACCTGAGGTGGCGGGTTCGAATCCCCAGCCCAGGCCCGCCAAACAACAATGATGGCTGCAACCAAAAAATGGCCGGCACTGTGGCGGGCGCCTGTAGTCCCAGCTACTTGGGAGGCTGAGGCAGGAGACTCGCTTGAGCCCAGGAGTTGGAGGTTGCTGTGAGCAGTGAAGCCATGGCACTCTACCCAGGGTGACAGCTTGAGACTCTGTCTCCAAAAAAAAAAAGAAAGTCTTCTTTCAAATGTTGAGTTCCTCCTATTGAGATTCAAACAAGGTCCACCCTGCATGTGATCTTTATGAGTAAGAGACTAGGTCGTTTGTTTTGTTAGCTCACCTGATTTTGCTTTCATTATGTTCCTGAGTGAGTTCGTCTGCCCCTCACCTCATAAGCTGGTAACGGGGTTAGAGGCCTGAGTAGGATCGTTTGGTGTTCTTGGCAAGAATATTCCATAGATGTGTTGCGCCCTTCTTGGAGTGTTGCATCTGTGGGCACAAGATGTCTGATTGTCACACTTTCCAATCATACGGATTAGCAGGTGGAGGTATTGTCAGACTAGACCCTCCATTGTACTTACAAAGTTCCCTATCTGCTTTTCTCTGGTGGTTTAGCAATCATTGCTGGGTTTATCAATGTCCACTATTTCATTAGGGTTTGCAGAACAGCTCTCTAATTTTCATACCTCTTGTGTCTTTGAGATGTCGTATTTTTTATTCCTCTTTAAACATGGGGTGATTTCATTGGGGTCTTGGGAGGAGTGGGAGGTGAATTTGTGGTTTAGTCCACCAGCTTGACAGCTGCTACAGTATGGATTTGGACAATATAAAGCGTATGAACACTGAAGTCATCTAAAGTTGGCACTTCCAGGAAGGGTGGGTAAGATAAGTAAGTACAGAGGCCAGAAGCACCCTGGGCAGTAAACACAGCCCCCACAGCCAGTCCACAAGTGTGATTGCTTTGTGGACACTTCAAGCTCAGTTTTGGTGCACTTTTCAAACAATATGTTACATTTATTTTCTTAATATGTTACATTTATTTTATTTATTTATTTATTTATTTATTTTGAGACAGAGTCTCATTCTCTTGCCCTCAGTAGAATGCTGTGGCATCACAGCTCACAGCAACCTCCAACTCTTTCGGGCTTAAGCGATTCTCTTGCCTCAGCCTCCTGAGTAGCTGGGACTACAGGCACCTACCACAACACCTGGCTATTTTTTGCTGCAGTTGCCACTGCTGTTTTTTAGGTGGCTGGGTTTGAACCTGCCACCCTCAGTATGTGGGGCCGGTGCCTTACCCGCTCAGCCACAGGCGCCGCCCAATATGTTACATTTAAATAAAAAAAAATTACTATAAAATGTAGAAGCAGTTACTGTCAAGGGCAGGTCTTTAAGAAGAAACCCAAGAAATGGGCATTAACAACCATTAGGGGTGGGAAGGGTCTCACAGAGAGGTTATCTGCACTTTACGTGCTGCAGAAGGGTCAAAGAAGATGAAAGCAGAGATTGAACTTTGGGCTTAGTGATCGTAAATCATTGGTGATCTTGGTCAGACTTGGTGTAAATAAGAATCACATGGCTTGGGCGGCGCCTGTGGCTCAAAAGGGTAGGGCTCCGGTTCCATATGCCAGAGGTGGTGGGTTCAAACCCAGCCCTGGCCAAAAAGGAAAAAAAAAAAAAATCACATGGCTCAGCGCCTGTGGCTCCAGCGGCTAAGGCACCAACCACATAAACCTGAGCTGGCGGGTTCAAATGCAGCCCGGGGCCACCAAACAACAATGTCAACTGCAACCAAAACATAGCTGGGAGTTGTGGTGGACACCTGTAGTCCCAGCTGCTTGGGAGGCAGAAGCAGGAGAATGCTTGAACCCAGTTGGAGGTTGCTGTTAGCTGTGATGCCATAGCTTTCTACTCAGGGCAACAGCTTGAGGCTCTGTCTCAAAAAAAAGAAAAATAAGAATCACATAATGAGGTTCGGCTCCTGTAGCTCAGTGGGTAAAGCACCAGCCACATAACCCTGGGACTGACAGGTTCAAACCCAGCTCAGGCCTGCTAAACAACAATGACAACTACAATAAAAAAAATAGCCAGACGCTGTGGGGAGTGCCTATAGTCCCAGCTACTTGGGAGACTGAGGCAGGAGAATCCCTTAAGCCCAGGAGTTTAAGGTTGCTGTGAGCTGTGATGCTACAGCACTCAACTGAGGGTGATATAGTGAGACTCTATCCCCCCCCCCAAAAAAGAATCACATGATGCATATTTATTGCCCTGAAAATGCTTCACTATGGAGAAAATGGTGAATGTTTTCTAATGCCAAGGAACAGGAAAATGGATAAAGGCAGAGAATGGAATAAAGGCAGAGAATGAACTGCAGTGGAGTAAAAGCCAGAAGACAAGGTAGAGAAAATGAGGGGGGTGTTTGCAGGAAGTTGCTTATCCGGAGAGGTGAGGAGCTGACAAGGTTGTAGGAGACACCTCTAGAGGGAGACATAGATGCAGGAGAGATGGGTTTTGACATAGTCTCAGAGGAGGTGGGACACAAATGAAGTTAGCTGTGGACAAGAAAATGGACTGTCCATCCAAAGCTGTGATAAGGTTGAGCATGGTGGGGTGGTGTCGGCAGGAGTTGACTTCTCTGGGTAAAGGGGTCATTGGGGGTAGAATCGGTTCTTTGTTTTAAGCACATTATGTGGAAGTGGAGGCAAACATTTAGACATTTGCAGTGACAATGGACACTGAAGACCTGACAGCAAGGCTGGCCCAGCTCAGAGGTGACACATGCAGTTTATTGCAATGATTAAGGGAGGCGTGAAGGAGGGCCATGAAAAGGCTGCATGTGTGCAGGTAGGAGAGGAATGATAGAGCTGTGAAAGTGTCAGTTTGTTAAAACGTCACAGGGAGCTTGTTTTGAGCTGGTTCTACACTGAGGACAGTGGGAGAGCTGACACTGGTTACAGATGGGGGAGGAGATGGGAAGGTGTGGTGCGCGGTGGCTGTGGGGCTTGCATGCATGCCCTGCCCGGCCCCACCCAAGCAAGGCCCTGATGGTGCAGGCTTAGGTCCTTTCTCAAAAGGGCTATAAGGGACACCCCTGTATGGATGCATAGACAGGTCATTGTTTCTCTTTCCCTCTAGTTTTCCAATAAGATTTCTGAGTTTCACTTTGAAAAAAGTCAGTTTGGATTTTTGTTAACTCAAATGTTTTTGACAGCAAATGTAACTGACTAGAAAAGGTTGAAAATCACTTTCCCAGAGAGTCCCAGACTCCTCTGACAGCACACTTGAACCTATAGTTAAACTTCTGCTGTTGGTGCCCGCTGCGGCCATGCCAGCACCACCAGAACGAACCAGCTGGTACAAGGGTTGAAAGTACAAGCTTGCAAGAGGTGGATGTCCCAGAGATGCAGGAGAGCCCTGAGCTACCTCCGCAGAAACTATTGAAATGCTACACAACAGGGATGGGCAGCCCCACGTGCAAGGACTATTTGCTAAAGCAGGCATCCTCAAACTACGGCCTGTGGGCCACATGTGGCCCGCCTAGGACATTTATCCAGCCTGCCAGGTCTTTTTGCTGCTGCTGCCTGTCCTGCTTAGCAGCCGACTTGTCCTGGGGCCCACAGTCCAGCCCTCCAACGGTCTGAGGGACAGTGAACCGGCCCCCTGTTTAAAAAGTTTGAGGACCTCTGTGCTAAAGGATTGGTGTGTGTTCTTTCTCCATGGCCTTGACTCCCACCCTGAAGCATTACAAATGTTCAAGGTCCAACACCTGCTTACTAACGAGGGACTGATCTTATCTCATTAGAGCACTACGTTGCTTGAGGCTTGTCTCTAGGCTGCAAAACATTTCCATGCCAGCTAGGAAATTGTCCCATTCCCAGAGCCGCCCTCAAGAACCCATGACTTTTCCTATAAGCATGGTGATCAGTCTCCTACATTCTGCACACATTTAAATGATGTTGATCCAAAAAAAAGAGTATACTTACTATGCTTTAAACTTCTTTAGAAAATAATTTAAATTTTTCGTGGCACACTGGTTGAAAATCGTTGCTTTAGGACATTCTTCTCACCTTTTATCCTTGGACAGAGATGATCTGGGAGTGGAGCTTCTTGACCATGACCAGGGAGACAGCTTATGATAGCTGAGATCACCTTTACAGGTCATAGGTCCACAAAAACTCCAGCCTCAAGGCCTTTGGCCTGAAATCAGTGCTGAAAGCCTCTTTCTACTCTAGTCCAGGCTATAATTGTGGGATTTCCAGAGGAGTCATTGCCCAGGTGAGAATCTTGTCCACACTAGAATTGGGCAAGATTCTTAGGAGAGACTTCTTCATCTGCTGTGGTTGTTGTGAGACCAGATATCTAGTTCTCCATTGTTATTAGAGACAGGGTCTTGTGTTGTTCAGGCTGGTCTCAAAACTCCTGAGTTCCTGGCCTCCCAGAATGCTAGGATTATAGGCATGAGCCACTGCTCCTGGGCACAGGTATCTAATTCTTTAAGAGTGTATCCCACATGTGGGGTCCTGGAGATTCCCAATGAGACCTGACCCATATCAATCAGAATCTTGAATATTTAGGACAGTTCCTGTATCCTGTCTCCTTTCCTCAGGGCTATCAGCCTCAGTCCATCCCCAGAAACACAGAAAAGGATGGCCCCAGGCTGAGAAGGAATATGTGTGCTCTTTTAGGAACCAGTGACCTTCAAGGATGTGGCTGTGGACTTTACCCAAGAAGAGTGGGGGCAGCTGGACCTTGTTCAGAGGACCCTGTACCGTGATGTGATGCTGGAGACCTATGGGCACCTGCTTTCTGTGGGTAAGGTGGCTGCTGTCCAAGTAAATGAAGCTATTCCCATAGCAGTGCCTTAACTACTTCATGTTTAAAAGCTCATTGTGGGGCTGGCAGCACCTGGGCTCAGTGGGGAGGGCGCCAGCCACATACACCAAGGCTGTGGTGAGTTGGAGTCCGGCCTGGGCCTACTAAACAACAATGACAACTGCAACCAAAAAATAGCTGGGCATTGTGGCGGATGCCTATAGTCCCCAAGAACTGAGCCAAGAGAATCACTTAAGCCCAAGAGTTTGAGGTTGCTGTGAGCTGTGACACTATGGCACTCTACAGAGGGCATCGTAGTGAGACTCTGTCTCAAAAAGAACAAAAACTCATTGTGAGGCTCAGGGAGGTGTCTCAGATGGGCTGAGATGATTTTGAGCCCTAAGGTTTAGGGAGAAATTCCTAATACTTAAGAAGCACTGAATGTGAGTGTGGAAATAGCCATGCTTATTTTGCCCAGGTAAGAAGTCACAGGAAGGAGTGGGCAGGGGATGCTTTTTTTGGCTGTCCTAAAGCCTCCTTACACAGGTCCCATGTTTTTCCTCCATGTTTAGGGAATCAGATCACCAAGCCTGAGGTCATCTCCCTGTTGGAACAAGGAGAAGAACCATGGTCGGTGGAGCAAGCATGTCCTCAAAGCACTTGTCCAGGTGAGGGCAGGCCCAGGAATGAGCAAGGAGCTTTCCTTGGACTAAGAGCATGAGGAATTACCTTCCTGAGATAACATTCAGGATCCCCTCTGAGGACCTGTGTCCCTTCTCCTATTGACTCTCTTGTTGCTATTGATTTTAGAGCAAAGATGCCCCACCTTGTTAATAGGGTAGCAGTTTTCAAATGCTGCAGTTTTAATCCCTGCTGTCTGCTCTCTTGTTGGTTCTCACATTTTCTGCTGTCCGTTTCTCTGAGATTAGTTCTCATTCACCTGTTTTAAAGTTTTTCCTAATTTGTAGCCTATGGCTACAGATGCTTCTTTAAAAAGAATTTTTAAAAAATAGGTTTATGTAGGTAATTTATTCACTTGTTTAAAAAAATTCAGGGCTACATAAAATGTAAAAACTGAAGAAAATCTCATTTATACTCCCCACCATTATCCACAGTACTGTTACTCAGCAGACAGACCCACAAAGCAACACAGAGATGTCTACACATGATAGTCACTTTTTGTTTACTATAAAATGTTGAGTTATTTTCTTAGTAGTTGTCCTGGGGATTATAATTAACATTTTAATTTATAACACTCTCATTTGGATTAATACCAATTTAATTTACTTTTGGTAGTATACCAAAACTTTTCTTATATTTAGCTATGTTCTCTTCCTTTTATGCTGTTACTGACATTAATTACATCTTCAAATGTTGCGTGTTCATCAACATAAATTTATAATTATTACTTTATGTAGTTGTCTTTTATTTATTCATTTATATTATTTATTTGTTTATTTATGTTTTAAGACAGAGTCTCACTTTATTACCCTTGGTAGAGTGCCATGGCGTCATAGCTGACAGCAGCCTCAAACCAATGGGCTCAAGAGATCTTCTTCCAAAAAAAAAAGAGAGAGATCCTCTTGCCTCAGCCTCCCCAGTAGCTGAAAACTACAGGTGCCTACCACAATACCCAGCTCATTTTAGAGACAGGGTCTCACTCTTGCTCAGCTATTCCTCAGGCTGGTCTCAAATTTCTGAGTTCAAGTGATCCACCCTCCTTGGCCACCTAGAATGGTAGAATTATAGACATGAGCCACCACACCCAGCCATTTGTAGTCGTCTTTTAAATCATGGGGGAAATGGAGTTAAAAACCAAAGGTATATTTATACTATCTTGTTATGGTTACCTATGTATTTACTTTTATTTATTTTTATTTTGAGTTACTATTTACTGTGTTCTTTCATTTCAGCTTTAGGGATTCCCTTTAGCATTTCCTGTAGGGCAGATTTGCTAGCAACAAACTCTATTGGGTTTCATCTAAGAGTCCCACAATTTCTCCTTCATTCCCCACCCCTGCCCCACAGGGACCTACCACTTCAGGAGAGATCTCCTTCATTTTTAAAGGATAATTTTTCTAGATATAGAATTCTTGGTTCAAGTTTTTTGTTTTTTTCCCTTGTGGATTCCATGTTTTTTCATGAGAAACTATTAATCTTAGCAAGAACCCCTTGTATATGAGTTGCTGCTTTTTTCTTTCCTTCAGGATTCTCTCTTTGTTTTAGCTATTGATAGTTGAATTATGAAAATGTAATACACCCATGGCTTTCTAAGTTGGAGCTTTTCAAAGTCCTTATGGATATCTCACTCCTCGGCTTTTCCTTTTCATCTTTTTAGTGTGTTGTTGGACCCACCTGTATGCCATCACCTCAGGCAGTGGTGTCATGTTGAAAAGTACCACTATTTGAGTTTCCTGTCAGGCAAAATAGAGACAAGCCTTCCCAGTGGGGTCTTTCAGGGACTCACCAGACAGGTCCAGTAATGACTGTCTTCTGGGAATGAAGTTTTTTGGGTTTCTTTTTTTCTTTTTTTTTTGTAGAGACAGTTTCACTTTATTGCCCTCGGTAGAGTGTTTTGACATCACACTGCTTACTCTAACTCCTAGGCCTAAGCAATTCTCTTATCTCAGCCTCCCAAGTAGCTGGGACTACAGGTGCCTGCCACAACACTCAGCTATTTTTTTGTTGCAATTCGACCGGGCCCAGGTTTGAACCCACCATACTTGGTATATGGAGCCGGCAACCTGCCCACGGAGCCATAGGCGCCGCCCTGGGAATAAAGTTTTAAGAAAGCTCCAGGTTTATTCTGCTTACTCCAATAACAGAAGTGGGGGCTGTTATTTTCCAAGGCTACTACTGATCTGGGGAGCCAGGGATGCGACTAAGATGGGACTAGTTAAAATGCTACAAAGCTCACTTTTTATTTTGAAGACACTTTGTTGCCCTTGGTAGAATGCTGTGGCATCATAGCTCACAGCAACCTCAGACTTTTGGGCTTAAGCGATTCTCTTGCCTTAGCCTCTCAAGTAGCTGGCACTATGGGCACCTGCCACAACACCCAGCTATTTTTAGAGATGAGGTCTCACTCTGGTTCGAACCTGGTCTAGGCTGGTCTCGAACCTGTGAGCTCAGGCAATCCACCCACCTCAGCCACCAGAGTGCTAGGATTAGAGACGTGAGCCACCGCACCTGGCCAAATCTCACTGTTCTTATTGAAATGCAATTATTTTTCTTTTCTTTTTTTTTGTTTTTGAGACAGAGCCTCAAACTGTCGCCCTGGGTAGAGTGCTGTGGCATCACAGCTTACAGCAACCTCCAACTCCTGGGTTCAAGCGTCTGCTGTCTCTGCCTCCCAAGTAGCTGGGACTACAGGCGCCCTCCACAATGCCTGGCTATGTTTTGTTTTAGCCATCATTGTTGTTTGGTGGGCCCGGGCTGAATTCAAACCCGCCAACTCAGGTGTGTGTGTCTGGTCCCTTAACTGCTTGAGCCATAGGCGCCGAGCCAATAGTGACAGTTTTTGCCAGTTATTTAGTTGCTTTTATGCAGTGATAAAATTTTAGATGTCCTTACTTTGCCATTTACACTGGCATTCTGCCACAGGTAATCACTTTTAGTGATATTTATTATAAACTTACAGGCAAAATAGAGACAAGCCTTTCCAGTGGGGTCTTCCGGGGACTCACCAGGCAGGTCCATCCTATGCAACTACAAGCATAAAGGAAGTTGTAGTTAAGCATTACTTTTCCCAAAGTGGAATACTTTACACTATGGCCCATGGGCCACATGCGGCCTGCCAAGGACATTTATCCAGCCCACCAGGTGTTTTTGCTGCTGCTGCCTGTCCTGCTTAGCAGCCAACTGTCCCGGGACCCGCAGTCCGGCCCTCCAACTGTCTGAGGGACAGTGAACTGCCCCCTGTTTTAAAAGTTTGAGGATCCCTGCTCTACACATTGTCTTTGCCTGATTATTTTTAACAACAATATGCCACAGCCTTTTCTGGAGGTCCTGAGTTGGACGTCTCCCACCCACTCCTAATGAAGGGAATTTTTGTGGAGAGTCTTACCAGTTGCTCTCAATGCAGGTTGGAAACCTTGCTCTAAGAACTCATGAACTCTAGTATCTTTAATTCTCCTATTGTTGGTGCTGCCTATTCTTAGTTGCCATCCTGAGCCTTTAGTTCTACCACTTCCATCCTCACACTTCAGAAGCCATGTTATAAAGCATCTTAGCTGTCTCCTTGATTTCAGTAGATAGAACAGGAATCTCTCGTCTTCTTTCTAGATGTTTCCCCATCTTCCTGAGGTGGGTATATTGTTGGTGCTAGCCTTTTGCAAATCACCTAAACTGGAGATTGAGAAATCATCTTGACTTCTTGCTATTTCCTAAGAATTAATCTCTCATCTAATTACTGAGATTTTCTTCCTCTGAAATGTAAATGATCTCCTTCAGCTTCCGCCATCACCCTTGGTGTAGCCCCATTCTGATGAAATTCCAGCTCAGATTGATGAGGAAATACTGACTTGTTATTTGCCACCTCAGTTGTTATTTCTAGATTCACCTCCCTGAAATCTTTCATTATGGGGTTCCTATCTGTAAACCAACAGTGCCTTTTAACAAACAAAGCAACCAGATTTTAAGACCTTCTAATTTTTATCTATTATTTTTCTAATTTCTCCTAAAGTTTATACAACTGCCATCCTTATTATTCTCCTTACATGTTGGTCACATCATGCGTGCCTTTTGCTGATGCTGAACTAGCCTTCTGTATCTGAACCATGCTTGAATGTTGTTTCTTTTATGTGAACCTTCCTTGATTGCTTCTGTTTGTGCTGACCTTCTCTTCTGACTTTCTTCTCACTTAGCACACACAATCCCATTCTCTCAGTGATATTTCATGTGTATTTTTCATTGTTTGCTATGTGCTTTCATCACATAGATTCTAACTTCCAAGAGGAAGATACTATATTTCCTTGCTTTATCTGATGCAGACACTCAGTAGGCCATGAGTATTGAGTAAGTATAAAAGTTAGACAAAAATTGTTTATTCATGGTGCCCATAGTGCAATGAATAGGGCACTGGCCACATACAACAAGGCTGGCCGGTTTGAGCCCGGCCCAGGCCAGCTAAACAACAGTGACAACTGCAATCAAAACATAGGCCAGCATTGTGGCGGGCACCTGTAGTCCCAGCTACTTGGCAGGTTGAGGCCAGAGAATTGCTTAAGCCCAAGAATTTGAGGTTGCTGTGAGCTGTGATGCCATGGCACTCTACTGAGGGTGATATAGTGAGACTCTGCCTCAAAAAAAAAGAAAAAGAATTGTTTATTCAGTCTTTCATGTGGTCAGAGAATTGGTCAGCCTCTATTTTTAAAAGTCTCTACTGGAAAGATTTAAAAGCTATATGTAGATCATTCACTACCTTCTGAGAGCTAAGCTTGGAATTGTTAATAAATATCAGTTCTTGAGCAGAGCAGAGCCTCTATTATAATGATATTAGGTGGTAAAAGGGGGAAATGGTATATTGTGATGAAAGAGAAGAAAAACCTAGAGAAAGAAGACGAGGGTCTAGGTCCTTTTGAGACCTGGGGCTTTAGGTCCTGTGGCAGGCTAAATGACAAATCCCCTCACCCAAGATGTCTGCATCTTGATCTCCTTAATTTGTGAATAAAATAACCTTATATGGCAGAAGGGGCTTTTCAGATATGAATGAACTAAGAATTTTGAGATAGGGAAATTATACTGGATTATCTGGGTAAATTCTAAATGTAATCACTAGATCCTTGTAAGTGAAGGTTATGAGAGACACAGCAAGATGTAATGCCAGGAGCAAAGATTGGAGTGTTGTGCACTGAAGATGGAAAAAGGATCTATCAACCAAGGAATGCAGGCAAGTTCTAGAACAGGCATCCTCAAACTACGGCCCACAGGCTACATGCAGCCCGCCTAGGACATTTATCTGGCCCGCCAGGTGTTTTTGCCGCCGCTGCCTGTCCTGCTTAGCAGCCAGCTCATCCCGGGGCCCTACAGTCTGGCCCTCCAATGGTCTGAGGGACAGTGAATTGGCCCCCTGTTTAAAAAGTTTGAGGACCCCTGTTCTAGAAGCTGGAAAAGGAAAAGGTACAGATTCCTCATGAAAGCTTCTGAAAGAAGCAGAACCCTGCTGGTAACCATTCTAGCCCATGAAAACTACTTTGGACTTCTGACTTCCAGAACCATAAGATAATATATTTGTATTATTTTAAGTTTCTAAGTGTGTGGAAATTTGTGGCAACAGAGAAGGAAACTAATATAGACTGCTTTGATTACTGAAGGACAGATGTGATAATAAGTGGTTCCTGTATATTGAACTTCCCAGGCATTTGGCTGGATTCACAGTCTCATTCATTAATTATCAGAAAAGTCCTTTAAGGGTAGTGGCAGAGCCAGTATTTAAATACAGATTGTCAGACTTAATTCCTGTGTCTGCTTCATTACACTATGCTGTCTTTCTAGTCCAGCTTTTGTTTTATTGCTCTAAAAATGATTCTGATGTAGTTAGAAGGATTGTAACTTCAGGGGTATCCTTGAACCTTGAGGATATATGCCTTTTGGGCCGGCAAATCTTGTGTGATTAAGTGGATTCCAGAATAGGAAATAATGTGATAGTGCTTCATCATCAGCAACATCCTGGCTTGAAGGCTTCCTTGGTGATACTCTTTCTTAACCCCACCTTTTTTTTTTCTTTTTGGCATATTTCAAGATAAAGGAGCAGGAAGGACACAACACAAAAGTGAATTAGAACATAATCTAATTTTTTTATTTTTTGTCTCCCAATCTGGAGTACAGTGTTGTCATCATAGCTCACAGCAACCTGAAACTACTGGGCTCAAGTTATCCTGCTGCTTCAGCCTTTTAAGCCACTAGAACTATAGGCATGGGCCACCACTCCAGGCTAATTTTTCTATTTTTGTAAAGATGGGGTCTCACTGGCCTTGAACTCCTGGACTCAGGCAGTTCTCTCGCCTCAGCCTCCCAAAGTGTTAGGATTACAAGTGTAAGCCACCACCCCCAGCCACAATGTAGTAATTCAGACATTATTTGCTAAGGGCCTGCATGCTCATCTACCTTTTGTTAATCCAAAAGGCTTTATTATTTCTTTCTTCTTTTTTTTTAACCTTAATGATATTCACTGTGTCCTTTTTGTCAGGGATCCTCAAGACCACCCTGAGGCCCAGTGGTTCACCAGAAGGATTCAGGACCAAAAAATCATAACACTAAGAACTATTGTTAATTCCTGTGAAAGAATACACAGCAACATCAGTAAAGGGAAAAAATGATGGAGTTAGTCCAGTGGTCCTTTCCCAGAGGAGGTACACTGAACACATTTAATTCCTTCACCAAGGAGCTGTGACAACATGTGTGAAATCTTGCCGACTAGGAAACTTGCTTGAGCCTAGAAATCCAAAAGTTGGTCATCTAGGCACACAATGCCTGTGTGACTGATGGCAATCACTAAAACTCCAGGGTTTCCAGAGGAAAAGCAGGTATTCACTCTAAATGGCATTGTTTGTTCAAAACATCTAGAGAAATTGGCACAATGTACTTCAATACCTTGAGCATGTGAAACACTCTAATTAGAACATTCAAGATCTTAGTTCCCAGAGGTTGGCCAATGGCCAATGGACAAACAGCCTATCTTGAAAATGTGTAAGTTTTGAGCCACTCAGGTTTGTAGAGTTAACTTTTTCCTACACATCCTTATTCTCATCTTTCTCTTCATAGCAAAGTGCTTTTAAATGATCTTGTAGTTTTCAGCACATACTTTGTATTTTGTTTGACTAATGTTCACTTTCTACTATTTACTTCCAGATTATGATTTTTTATTGTGTTCTAAGTCTGTGTTTGAGAAGAAACTCATACTTGCCTATTTGTTAATATAGACAATATATCTTACCATTCTCTCTCTATTCTAAGGTATATGCTTTCACAGCTTTTTTCTGTCTATTTCAGAATGGATGAGAAATATTGAAAGCAAAGCATTGATCCCAACACAGACCATTTTTGAGGAAGAACAATCCCCTGGCATGAAGTTGGAAAGATACATATGGGATGATCCTTGGATTTCCAAGATAGAAGTTTTGGGATGTAAAGACCAGTTAGAAATGTACCATATGAACCAGAGTACAGCTATGAGACAAATGGTCTTCATGCAAAAGCAAGTACTATCTCAAAGAAGCTCTGAATTCTCTGAACTCGGGGCAGAATGTAGCCAGAACTTAAACTTTATTCCATCTCACAGAGTTTCTCAAATCGAACATTTCTATAAGCCTGATACACATGCTGAAAGTTGGAGATGTAACTCAGCCATAATGTATACAGATAAGATTACCTGTGAAAATGATTATGACAAAGTCTTCTACCAGTCCATTCAGCCTGTTCACCCTGCAAGAATGCAAACTGGAGGTAATCTTTTCAAATGTACTGATGCTGTTAAATCTTTCAATCATATAATACATTTTGGTGATCATAAAGGAATGCATACAGGAGAAAAACTCTATCAATATAAGGAATGCCATCAGATCTTTAACCAGAGCCCATCATTTAATGAACACCCAAGACTTCATATTGGAGAAAACCAGTATGATTACAAAGAATATGAAAATATCTTTTATTTCTCTTCCTTTATGGAACACCAGAAAATTGGCACTGTAGAGAAAGCATATAAATACAATGAATGGGATAAAGTCTTTGGGTATGACTCATTCCTTACTCAACATGCAAGTGCTTACACTGCAGAGAAACCCTATGAATATAATGAATGTGGTACATCTTTCATCTGGAGCTCTTATCTTATTCAACATAAGAAGACTCATACTGGAGAGAAACCCTATGAATGTGACAAATGTGGAAAAGTTTTTAGGAATCGTTCGGCCCTTACTAAACATGAACGGACTCACACTGGAATAAAACCATATGAATGTAATAAGTGTGGAAAAGCGTTCAGCTGGAATTCTCATCTTATTGTTCATAAGAGAATTCATACAGGAGAAAAACCTTATGTGTGTAATGAATGTGGGAAATCTTTCAACTGGAACTCCCATCTTATTGGACATCAGAGAACTCATACTGGAGAGAAACCCTTTGAATGTACTGAATGTGGGAAATCTTTCAGCTGGAGCTCTCATCTTATTGCCCATATGAGAATGCATACTGGAGAGAAGCCCTTTAAATGTGATGAATGTGAAAAATCTTTTAGAGATTACTCGGCCCTTAGTAAACATGAACGAACTCACTCTGGAGCAAAACCATATAAATGTACTGAATGTGGAAAATCCTTCAGCTGGAGCTCCCATCTTATTGCTCATCAGAGAACTCACACAGGGGAGAAACCCTATAACTGTCAGGAATGTGGCAAAGCATTCAGAGAACGCTCAGCCCTCACTAAACATGAAATAATTCATTCTGGAATTAAGCCCTATGAATGTAATAAATGTGGAAAATCCTGCAGCCAGATGGCTCACCTTGTTAGGCATCAAAGGACTCATACTGGAGAAAAACCCTATGAATGCAATAAATGTGGAAAATCCTTCAGTCAGAGCTGTCATCTTGTTGCTCATCGGAGAATTCACACTGGTGAGAAACCCTATAAGTGTAATCAATGTGAAAGGTCCTTTAACTGTAGCTCTCACCTTATTGCTCACCGGAGAACTCATACTGGAGAGAAACCATACAGGTGTAATGAATGTGGGAAAGCATTTAATGAGAGTTCCTCTCTTATTGTACACCTGAGAAACCATACTGGAGAAAAGCCCTACAAATGTAATCATTGTGAGAAAGCTTTCTGTAAGAATTCTTCTCTTATTATTCATCAGAGAATGCATAGTGGAGAGAAACGCTTTATATGCAGTGAATGTGGAAAAGCCTTTAGTGGTCATTCAGCCCTACTTCAACACCAGAGAAATCACAATGAAGAGAAACTGAATTGATGAGAGGTTTTTCTTCCATTGTACATTTGATCATACATTGGAAAGAAATCCATGTAACAGTAATGAAGAGGGGAAATTTTTCATTGAGAGTTCAGTGAGACTTCTCCCATTATTATTTAATAGAATATATCTTAGAAGATACCCTATGAGTGAAAGGAATAGGGAAAAGTTTTCAGCATTCATGTAGCCCTTATTCTATATCAAATAGTGACAGTGAAGAAAACCCTAAACTCCCCTCATGGTCCACTAGGAATTCATACTTAAGGAACGTGACTGTGGGGAATGAGACATCTTTTAGCAAGGGCTTTCACTTACTTGGAGATCAGTATGAATTGTTAAGGAAAAAACCTTTACACTGAGAAAAGTGTATTGACTGAAAATACACTGTTTTGCATCAAGCTGGAGTATTGGATGGAAAGTTACACGGTAACATTTTGTGTATAACTATAGAGTTTGCTATTATAAGAGAAGAATGTAGGTGCCCTTTAAGGAATAGGATATGAATTACTAAATCTGAATTTAAAATAAAAATAGTATTGAATGTATATTTACTGTTGATCAAGATTAACCTTAGAACAGGTTAGTAAGTGAGATTACTAATGGTGGAAAAGTTATCACCTATAGGTATGAGACTGGTTTTGGAACAAAAGATGATACTTAATAATCCAGTGTGTCAGTGTTTGTTGTTTATTCACTGCATTGTTGGGCAATTAGTTTGTAATTTGTTTTAGGCAATTATTATAAATTATAATTATGGACACTGCATCAGTACACATTACATGAAGGAATAAAAGAACACATAATTGTATATACATGTTGCTGTAACATCTTCAAAAAAAAGATATATGGATAAGGATCTGAAAGATCTATAGAGAAGTTAACCCAGTTAATTTTTTTTAAGGTTTCACAAATTCATATAGTACTCATCATGTGCTAGGCTTTGTTTAAATGCTTTCTGGGTATTAACTTGTTCAATCCCCTTAACTCTCTGTGATAGCCACTATTATTATCCCAGTTTTATAATGGGGAAACTGAAGCAGAGGTGTTGAGAAACTTGGTCAAGGACCGAAGCTAGTAAGGAGTGGAGCTGAGATTGTTTAGCTCCTGAGTTCATGGTTTTAACCACTGTCATGTGCTGCTTCTCCTGGGATTTTTTTCCTAATTTTTTTCCTTTTGTTCAGTGTTTTTATAGTATGGTTTGATAATAAAAAGAAACTCCTAAACAATGAGAAATTAAGTTACCTGGTTGGCTCTGTCCTAATGAATTTCTGATAACACAAGAGTTGAGGTCCTTTTGTAATATGAAGTCTTTGTTCATTTAGAATCACTGCATTTTCTGGGACCTGAGTTCCTTAGAATTTCACTGTCCACAAACCTGAGTATTACAGGGCAGTAGGGCATGGAGGACTCAGTGGAGGTCTGAGCAAGCCCCTCACAAAGCAGAGGGCAGGGGTGTTCATTCATTTACACAGATACCACTGTGTGTTGGAGCACCATTTCTCAAGTCAGCCCCTGCCTGACTGCATCTAAGACCATCCCCATCATAATTGTAGATAATTTTCCAGTGTCCCACTCACTGTCCTTTGACTTCTCTGCTGATAGTTTTGCTCACTACCTTCTCATAGCCAATCACTCCCATTGTGGTCCTGAGCCCCTACACCAGTCCATTTCAAGCATCCCTTCCAGAGCTAGTTGACTAATGTATAGATTCTAACAATCCTGACTGAACCTTCTCTCATACCAAGTTCCAGGAGGAGATTTTGTCTCCCTTGAAGACAATATATTTAATTTTTCTTTATCTTCTTCAGATGAAAGATTGCTTGGTAGGACAGAGGAGAAGACAAGTGAGTGAGCTACTCCACTCAGAGTGAGGAAGTCTTTGAGTATTTTTAGGGGGGAAAGGGTGAGATGGATGAGAGAACTCAGGTGGCTTCTGCCCAGTTCATACATACTTCCTGTATTTCCCTAAAGCAGGGCTTTAAATATGGGCCACAGATTTTTCATGGACCAGCTATAAGGGTGTTGAACAGAAATCTGAAGTCCATAAGGTTCTTCCAGTTCTGAGGAATCCATGAGTCCCCACTGGTTGAGAAATGATGGCCTACTAGTGTCATAGGGAGGCTGTGTTCACTGTCACATACTTAGGTATTATTACCTTTATTACCTTTGAGGGCCTGATGCCATGGGTGGTCACCAAATAAATGGTATAGAAGCAAATAAGGTTATTGATGGGTTTCTTACATGATTTGTGCAAAGAGCCTTGGATAGAATGGAGTTAGCAATATTATCTCTGTAACTGACAGCAGCATGGTCTATCCAGAATCATACTCCCAATATGATACAGATCCAAAGTGAAGCCAAATTCTCTGTTTTAGGGATTCCAAAGGATTTCATAAATCATATGCAGTATTCCAGCCAGGCATGGTGGCTCATAGGAGGATCCCTTGAGCTCTAGAGTTCCAGACCAGCCCATCCTTCCTAAAGATAGAAAACAGAAAAACTAGCCAGCATTGTGGCAAGCACCTGTAATCTGAGCTACTTGGGATGCTGAGGCAAGAGGTTCACTTGAGCCCAAGAGTTTGATGTTACTGTGAGCAGTGATGATGGCATTCTACTGAGGGTAATAAAGTGGAACTATGTCTCAAAAAAAAAATCATATGTAATATTCCATAAGCATCTAGTGTTTTATTTTTTACCCTTATTTACAAGCTTATTATGTTTTAAAAGAAGTATTTTTAAAACTGCCTCCTGGGGCAGCACCTGTGGCTCAAAGGAGTAAGGCACCAGCCCCATATGCCGGAGGTGGTGGGTTTAAACCCAGCCCCAGCCAAAAACTGCAAAAAGTAAAATAAAATTTAAAAAATAAAAACTGCCTCCGTGGCTTAAAACAAAAGTTCCAGAATTCTGATTCTTCCCTACTGCCTGTCACAGCCGTATATGACACTAAACTATCAAGACTGATTTCAGTGTTCTGATATGCCCAGGGCTCCCAGGTCTCCTCTATTTCATTATAACCTGTATATGGCTTAGTTCATTGCCCTTATTGCCCTTTTTTGACCCCTGTTTTTCACTCCTCCCTAGCTCTGGAACTTGGTGGGCTTGCTCTGTCTGATGGCTGAATAAGAGCAAGCCCAGCAGAAGTCCTTTACTCTATTGCTTATGCACATCATTTCCTTTCCAAGGCTGACTGCTTTCTCTCCCTCTCTTATTCTCTGCTTTCAGACTGTTCCCTATCCATTCTCTCTAAAACTCCATTGCAATGCTTGGGTCACTAGATAGTCACCACTATTACTGCTTATCTGCATATCTCAAAAGATGTCAGCTCCTGCCTGACTGCATCTAAGACCATCCCCATCATAGTTGTAGATAATTTTCCAGTGTCCCACTCACTGTCCTTTGACTTCTCTGCTGATAGTTTTGCTCACTACCTTCTCATAGCCAATCACTCCCATTGTGGTCCTGAGCCCCTACACCAGACCATTTCAAGCATCCCTTCCAGAGCTAGTTGACTAATGTATAGTCTCTAACAATCCTGACTGAACCTTCTCTCATACCAAGTTCCAGCAGATGATTTTGTTTCCAATTTCTATGAGAAAATAGAAGCAGTCAGCAAAGGCCTTCCATAACATCACTCTCCCTCCTCTATCAGGACCTTTATGTGAGCTGGCTGGGCCCCTGCACCAGAGCCCTTACCCTCCACAACTCCAGGACATCACTCCAGTGAGACTGCCCCGTCTCTTTTAGCCTTAGTTTTTCTCTGTGAGATGATTTCCATCAACATGCAAACATAGTTCTGAGACAAAAGTAATTTGTGTGTCTCGGTTCCTGTGGCACTGAGGTTAGGGTGCCAGCCACATAAACCAAAGGTGGTGGGTTTGAACCCAGCCCAGGCCAGCTAACCAGTAATTACAAGTGCAACAAAAAATAGCCAGGCATTGTGGTGAGCACCTATAGTCCCAGCTATTTTGGAGGCTGAGGCAAGAGAATTGCTTGAGGCCAGGAGTTTGAGATTGCTGTGAGCTGTGATGCCACAGCACTCTACAGAGGGCAACATAGTGAGACTGTCTCAAAAAATGATAATAATTTGTGACACTACATTCCCTTCTAGCTTGTGCATCACTTCTCTTCTTCACTTTAGCAAAACTTCTCAAGAGTTGTCAGTTCTTACCTATTTTCTCCATTCTTGAGTCCACTTCAAATACATATCTGCCATGTGACCACAATGCTAACTCCAGTGTTCAATTCCTAGTTTTTTCCTTGATATAAGTAGCAGCCCTTTAGCCAAGGTCACTTATTCCTTGAAACATGCTCTTCACTTGGTTTTCAGGGGACCTCTCAGTTTTCCCACTGCCGTTCTGGCTGTCACTTAGGCTCCCTTTGCTATTTCTTCCTCACTTCTCTTTTCTTTTTCTTTTTGTCTGTCTGTTTGTTTGTTTGTTTGTTTTTGACACAGTGTCTCACTTTGTTTTTTGCCACCCTTGGTAGAGTGGCCTGGCACCATAGCTCACAGCAACCTCAAACTCTTGGGCTTAAGCCATTCTCTTGCCTTAGCCTCCCCAGTAGCTGGGACTACAGGCGCCCACCACAACACCCAACTATTTTTGAAGATGGGGTCTCACTCTGGCTCAGGTTGGTCTCAAACTGGTAAGCTCAGGCAATCCACTACATCAGCCTCCCAGAGTGCTAGGATTATTGGACTGACCTACCATGCCCAGCCTGACAGTCCTCTCCTTGAGAAACAAGATGTCTGTTCCTTCCTCTCCAATGTGAGCAAACCTTGGTGGCACCTGTGGCTCAGTGAGTAGGGCACCAGCCCCAAATACCAAAGGTGGCAGGTTCAAACTCAGCCCCTGCCAAAAAAACTGCAACAACAACAACAAAAAAATAGCCGGGCATTGTGGGGGCACCTGTAGTCCCAGCTACTCAGCAGGCTGAGACAAGAGAATCATCTAAGCCCAGGAGTTGGAGGTTGCTGTGAGTTGTGACACTACAGCACTCTACCAAGGGTGATAAAGTGAGACTCTGTCTCAAAAAAAAAAAAAAAAGGAGAAGAAGAAAAGAAAAGAAAAAGCTTCACCTTATAGGGGCAGAAGTGAAGAAAGGTATGTGACTTCTGAGGCCTGGTCCAAAAAGGGCAGGCAGATTCTTCCTGATTCTCTGTAGAAGTGCTGAGTGAAGCCAGTTGACATGTAAAATCCTAACTACTCTTAGACCCTCATGTTAGAGGGGCCAGCCCAGTCCTGCCAGGTGTGAGACACAGGAGGAAAGCACCCTGGGTTACCCAAGAGAGCTGACTCTGACATCTTGACCCCTAGGATCTTTGAACAGTATAAAAAAAGTTTTTATGTCAGTAAGTATGAGGTGGTTTGTGAAACAGCTGTAATAACAAGAATACTATTTCAATGTAAAGAAGTAGAGACATTTTAAAAGTGAAAACATATCATAGGTTCATATTGATACTTCCAATTGAATTCGCAATTAAAGATTTTTTCTATTTAATTTCTTTTTTGTGTTTTTTGTTGTTGTTTGCTTTCGGTTTTGTGTTTTGAGACAGAATGTTGTGCCCAGGAGTTCCACAAAGACCACACTGCCAAACAAGTTAAATTTAAAAAGGAGTCCTTTTGTTGAAGAGCTGGCTGATGACTGCCTCAGTGTCCCAATGTGGGGTTTCTGAGTGCAGACCCAAGTGCTTAAGGGGTCAGGGTTTTAAGTCTTGGTCTGCATCCTAATTGGCATGCAGACTGTCCAGATGGATCTGTGTAGGTAGGAAGCAAGTATTATACAGAAGCAGAATTTTGCAGTTAGTTAGCCATACATCGTACATCTTTGTTTTAATATTTTCCCCCATATACATCTTAGTTTCAATACTTTCCCCCATACATCTTAGTCTCAGTATTTTCTCCATCTGGTATTGTTTAAAGGTCAGTCTGGGGATAGTTGGTGCCTCCCAGTTCATTTCCCAGGGAGTTAGCCAGGCAAGAAACTGGGAGTGAACTAGAAGCAAGAAATCAATTAGTACTTTCTCATTTATTTTGGGGGTGAACTAGACTTATTTTATTTCTTTTTTTGAAAGCTTGCAGTCTGGCTCAGCACCTGTGGCTCAAGTGGCTAAGGCACCAGCCACATACACCTAAGGTGGCGGGTT